ATAAGAAGCTGAAATATGGAGACATACACCCTTTCTCCTCTCTCCCTTCTGCCGCAGACAGCCCTGGGACTTTCTGCCAAGAGCGCTTTGTCAGGTGATCGTCAGGGGATGTGCTCTCTCTCCTGGGCCTTTGCAGACCTCTCAAGGAGGGGTTGTTCTGGAGCCTGGAGGCAGTCACGTTCCTTACCCACAACTGCCATCCTCAAACCATTTCTCCTCCCCTGAAGCTTGTGCCCGGGCTACATCACCACCTCACCGGCCTGGTTGCTGCCGGCTTCTGAGCACTGTCCTCTGTCCCTCAGTCCCTGACAACTTGAGCCCCAGGCACGCTGTCCTTCTCTGCGCTGTTACCCTGTCATCACCGTGTCTTCTTCGTCATCTCCTGAATGATCCGTGCAAACCTCCAGCCCAGCAGTCCTCGACCTGCTCACTTCCAATCACCAGGTCTTCCTCTCAGTCGCCACCACCCCTGCCTCTGTGATCAGCCCACTGTTCTTATCGTCCCCAATAACCACGCTACGTCCAAAATCTAAGCTGCGAGCATCTCACTCTTACTCTTCCCTCCTCCATCCCTCCAGCTCACTCCCCAAGCAGTTCCCAGTCCAGCAATTCCTGGATTTCAATTCACTCACCCCACCTTCCCCTTAGTGTCCTCTTTGTGTCCCAGCTTCCTGCTTTATCTTGTTGATACCCCACAGGTCCTCCTTACAGTCTTGCAAACACTCTTTTTTTTTTTTTTTTTTTTTGAGACGGAGTCTTGCTCTGTCACCCAGGCTGGAGTGCAGTGGCCGGATCTCAGCTCACTGCAAGCTCCTCCTCTCGGGTTCACGCCATTCTCCTGCCTCAGCCTCCCGAGTAGCTGGGACTACAGGCACCCGCCACTTCGCCCGGCTAGTTTTTTGTATTTTTTTTAGTAGAGACGGGGGTTCACTGTGTTAGCCAGGATGGTCTCGATCTCCTGACCTCGTGATCCGCCCGTCTCGGCCTCCCAAAGTGCTGGGATTACAGGCTTGAGCCACCGCGCCCGGCGCAAACACTCTTAACCCGGTATCCCTCTCCCATGTGCCGGGCAAACACATATTTGCATGGCAAAGCCTTAATACCAGTTCAGTCCACCTATGGGGCTCTTTTGGGTGCCGTCATGTCAGAAACTAAACGTGATAGGAGGAAAACGCCACCGTGCCGATTGGTCCCACGTGGAATAACAGCTAATATTTCTATGACATGTGGTGCGACCAGGGCACAGGCTAAGCGTCTTACCTATAGTAACTAATTAAATCCTCACAAAACCCATATGCATTAGGTACTATTGTATTAATGTCATTTCACAGGCACGGAAACTGGAGCCTGTAGGGACATTAAGCAGTCTGTCCAAGGTCACACAACGATAAAGTGACAAAAAAACAGGATTGGCCCTCAGGCAGTCTAGCTGCAGAATCCTTTTCTTCATAATTCCACACACTTGCTCCTCTATCTCCAAGTCAATCAACAGAGCTAGTCCAACCAACACTTCCCCCTTCCTACTCTTTTCACTCTTCCACTCCCCAAGCAACTCTTTCTTTTTTTAATGTTATATTTATTTTAGATTCAGGGCTCCATGTGCCTGTTTGTTACATGGGTATATCGTGTCATGGTGAGCTTGGGCTCCTAGTGAACGCATCACCTACAATATTGAACATTGCACCCAACAGGTCATTGTTCAACCCTCACCCTCCTCTCATCCTCCTCCCTTTTGGAGTCCACGGTGTCTATTGTCTTCACTTTTATGTCCATGTGTACACATCGTTTACCTCTCACTCGTAAGTGACAACATGTGATATTTTATTTTCTGCTTCTGGGTTAGTTTACTTAGAATAATGGCCTCCAGCTCCATCTATATTGTTGCAAAGCACAGTCTTTCATTCTTTTTTATGGCTGCATAGTATTCCATGGCATATGTATGCCACATTTTTCTTATCCAGTCAACCATTGGTGGAGATTTAGGTTGATTCCATGACTTTGTTATTATGAACAGTGCTGGGATAAACATATGAGTGCAGGTGTCTTTTTGATAAAATGATTTCTATTCCTTTGGGTAGATTCCCAGTAGTGGGATTGCTGTGTCCAATGGTAGTTCTATGTTTAGTTCTTTCAGAAATTTTCATATTTTTTTCAATAGAAGTTAAATATTTTATATCCCCACCAAGCAACTATTTCAAACCTCCTCTTCACCTCCTTCTCCTTCCATTATAGGTTAATGTCTTTGTCTTGCCCTGCTTTGAGAAAAATCCAAGAATCCATCAAGAACTCCCTCATCTCCCGCCATCACTTGTACCAACTCTCCACCATATGCTCCACTGCACTTTGCCTTCCTTCCTGCTACAATGAATGAAGTATCCCTTTTCCTGCCAAAGAACACCTCTCCACTTGCAATCCAGGCCTCTCTCCTTCCACCTTCCAAAATGCAATGGTCATGGATAGAGTTGAGCACGCACTCTCACATTCTGTTCTCCTACCTGGTTTCCATGACGCCACAGGAGTAGAATCCCACCATCACTCAGCAAGCTCCTTCTCAGTCTTCATTGAGGATTTCTGGGTCCCCTTCTTTTTTTTTTTAATCTCCACATATCCCCAAAGTGATGGGAACCAGTTTTGTGGCTTTATATCTCATCAATTTGCCAAATCTAACTAGACTGACTTCTTTCCCAAAGTCCAAATATATATATCCAACTGCCAATATACTACATCTTTATTTGTATATCTAATAAGGTCTCAAACTTTTCACGGTTCAAACAAACTCTCGACCTTACTCCATAAAATGTTCCTTTCTGGTCTCTTCCATCTCAGAAAGAGGCATCATCATTCATCGAATTGCCCAATTCAAACATCTAACATCTCTTGCTTCTTCATTCAATATCTCCAACCCATTATCTTCCCCAGTCCCACCATGATTTAACTTCTCTACGCCACCAGCCTCCTCTAAGACGTCAACATCTATTAACTGAACTACTGAACACCTGCTACTGGTCTCCCTGCTTCCACTCTTGTTCTCCTATGATATGATTTGGCTGTGTCCCCACCTAAATCTCATCTTGAATTGTACCTCCCATAATCCCCACTGTTGTGGGAGGGACCTGGTGTGAGGTAACTAAATCATGGGGGTGGGTTTTTCCCATGCTGTTCTTGTGACAGTGAATAAGTCTTACAAGATCTGATGGTTTTATACAGGGCAGTTCCCCTGCACATGCTGTCTTGCCTCCTGCCATGTAAGACATGCTTTGCTTCTCCTTCACCTTCCGACATGATTGTGGAGACCTCCCCAGCCATGTGGAACTGTGAATCCATTAAACTTCCTTCCTTTATAAATTACCCAGTCTCGGATATTTCTTCATAGCAGTATGAAAACGGACTAATACACCCTACAACTCCTTCTCCAAAGAGGACCCAGAGTGATTATGTTCAAACATGATCAGATTAAATCATCTCCCTGCCTAACATTCTCATGGCTCCCCCTCCATTTAGAAGCCAATGCCAGTTCCTTATGTTGGCCTGCAAACCCTCTTTGATCTGGCCCCTGCCTCCCCTCCCAGCCTTAGCTAGAGTGGCTCCTCACATCACCCACTGTGCCCAGCCACACTGGCCTTGCCTCTCTTCTTTAAAAACATCAAGCTTGTTCCCACCTTAGGGTCCTTCCCCAGCTACTGCCTCTGCCTGGGATGCATGTGTCCCTGATCTTCACATGAGTTGTTCCTTCTTAGAAGTCAGGATTCAGCCTAAATGTCAACTCCTCAGCCTTCCCTGACTACATAACAGCACCACCAGTCACTATCACATCTCCTATTTTAATACTCTGCCTAACACTATCCCTGCCTGACATTTCTTATGATTTACTCATTTATTTTCTCTTAACCAACTAGACTATAGGCCACATGACAGCGGCAATCTCATCCATCACATTCATTGCTCTGTCCCCAGGACCTTGGGTCAAAATCATCAGATAAATGGACATTCCTGCAATTGCCATAAGTAACTTCTCCTGGAATCTCCAGGGATCACTGGAAATCCAAATATCCAGCAGCTGCACACTTGTATGGGACACAAATGAAAAACACAGACTGGCTCACTTGGCAGTAGCCACTACTAGAGAAGGTAAAATGGCAAAAGGTGGGACATTATCCTGAAAAATATGACAAACAAATAGGATTAATGGAGAGGCCTGGGTTCAAATCCTAGCACTGCTCTTTACTGCTTTTAAGTGGGCAAATCCCTTGCCCTATCTCTCTCTGAGTCTTAAAGTTTTCCCCCATCCATAAAATGGGAATGATACATGTCCTAGCAGGCTTATTGTGAAGACTGAATGAGACATTGCAAGTGCCTATTAAGGAGCAAGAATTCAAGCACATAGACCCGTGACAGTACAGGATTCAGGCTTTGTTGAAAGAAGAAATGAAACCTTGTCTAATATGAATTAGTTCATGGGACCTAAATGTACCAAATTCTAACTCAAGCTCTACTCCACTTTCCCTTCGAAACTCCATTTCTAGTCTCACCTGGTCCAATATGTGTTCTTACCAGGGCCAGGTGTCATCACCACCAAATGCAGCGCCAGGGGTATCTTCTGTATGTTGTTAATGGATGTTAGCTGCTTTTTCAAATGCATGAAGTTGCCTGCCTCATAATGATTGTAAATTCACACCCATGGTCCCTCCTCTATACGCCCTTCATATCTCCTTCCAGGACTGCTCCAGTGATACTTCTTTTGAGAGGTTGTCCCAGGCCTCTAGGTGGAATAGAGAGGCCCTCCTCTCTGCTCCCAAGTATGTTATCTGAACCTTATCTATCAGGGCTGTCTATCCCATTATGTGTTATTTAGTTGGTATCTCTCTCTCTCTCTCTCTCCCTCTCTCTCTCTTCTTAAATTGTGTTTTTAAGACTCAGAGGTGAAATCCTTACATTCCAGACAACTCTTGGCCCACTGGGAGGATAGACTCTGGTCAAAACCCAAGGCCATATTCGCTTACCGTGTCCTGATATCTTGCCTTCCTCTCTTCTCCCAGCTGAAAACTGTTTCTTCAAGTCCCTGGTGCAGCTCATTTCACTGGGTTCCTGAGAAACACAGAATCAGGAAGGTTAAGTGGCAAAAATTTTAATATAATGTAACTAAGATGAATGATGTGGGGATGGGGAGAGAATCGACACTTAAATATATAAAAAATTGTTGCCTGTAATTAAAAATTAAAATAGCAATTGTCCATTCCCCAGAAGTCACAAAAGAGGCCTCTTGAAATCGGGCAGAAACCTTTAATTATTCATTTCAAATGAGTCTTTCTAGGCACAAAGATATCCCAATAGTATACAATGAAACATAACTATCCACATAGAAAATATGTGTGGGTAACATGCCAGGAAATCCTGAAGTTCTGACAAAAGGAGTTTTTGTTGAGTCAGAAATCCAATTAAACAAAAAGGGTTTTAATGTATCTTCTTGGCATGGTGGAGAGATGCATCAAATACTTTTAAAATCCGGGAACCGGCCCTTCATGAAGCGTGTTCTGTGGCATCCTCTCCCCAACAAAGGCCTGGCCTTTAAAAACCACCCTCGTGCAGCATTGCAGAAAAACCACCCTCTCTTTACTGTTCCAGTGAGATTCTGCAATATTATTGTGTATGGATTTCAATATCTGAAGATGGCAATTGATAGGAGAATTCACCAAAGTTCCCAAAACAGTAAAACTGCATATTAAACGATTGTTTTGGGGAAAGTATAGCATAGAATTCAGAGCTCGAGTTCAAGACAGGTCAGTGACTTAGCTGCATGACCAGGAACAAGGAACAAGACAGTTAAAATTCAGAAGCCTCTGTGTTCTCATCTGTAAAACAGAGGCAGTAAGAGAAACTATCCTTGGAGTGCCATGAGGATTTAATGAGATAATTCATATACAGCATTGGGCAGAGGGCACAGGCACATGGTAAGAGCCTATTGGCTGGACTGTTATCATCATTAATATGCAGGGTGGCAATGTCTGCTGCAATGCCAAAACAATGCAGTCCAATGTTCAGGCTGGAGAAATTAGTACCAAGACACATCTTGCCAAAACTGAGTCACTGCGTTGAAGATCGGGGAAGGGACTGGAGTCATAGGAGGTCAGAACACATGCTCAGGGGACTTTTCCACACAACTGCTGCCACAGTGGTATCCCTACATCTCACCCATCCCTCCCCAGCCACACTACTTTTCACATCCCAAGAGTCCTGTTTATACCATCTGCTCACTAAAAGGCACTCTCTAGAGCTCATCCCCCAGCCCAGATGGGTCCCAGCCATCTGGCATTGGTCCCAGGCATTGCGTCCACTTGCAGCCACATATGTGCACATGTTAACTGAGGAAGGTTTCCAGCCAATAGACAGCAATACACACAAGTGCACATATACACACAGCCCTGAGCAGAACATCCATATAGTCACTGGCATGAGAAAGAGTCTACAAGTCACATACACATGCATGCACGAATATGTACACACACAGGCACATGCATACACACACAGGCACACACCTGTGTAACTCCCTAAGTCACTAGCCATGTCCGCTCTCCCTCACCCCAGCTTTGACATCCCTTGTCCCAGCTGTGACATCCCTTGTCCCAGCTGAGTTCTATTTCTCTTCTCAGATCATTGCAGCCCTGGTCTAGAATGACTTAAGGAGCAAAACTGAGCCAAGAAGTCTTGCCAGATTCCTACTGGAAGTAATCTGGAGACTTAGATCTGCAAACAGCATCAAGCGGCTATAGGGTAGAGCACAGAATTCGGAAGTAGGATAACTCACGTTAAAACCCAACTTCACCTCATTATGTCTAATCTTGAGCAAGTTCCTTAGTCTTTCTGAACCTCAGTTTCCTTATCCCCAAGGTGGAAAACATCCTGCCCCATGGGATGTTATGATGATCCAATTGATGTAAGTAAAAGTATTCCATGATCCATAAGGAGCTTTGTAACCATTAGCTTTTCTGGTAAACACCAAGAACCCTGAACTATTGGTATAAATTCTGATTCTTGTTTTTTTTTTTTTTCTGAGGACGGAGTCTCAGCGCTGCTGATCACCCAGGACGGACTCACTGAAGACTCCGGCCTGCCCAGGTTTCACGCTTCTCCTGCCCCAGGCCTGCCGAGTAGCTGGGGACTACATGGCGCCCGCCAACCACCACCCGGCTAGTTTTTGTGATTCTTTGTATAGAGACGGGGTGTTGCACCATGTTGCCAGGATGGTCTCGATCTCCTGACCTCGTGATCTCGTACCGCCTCGGCCTCCAAAAGTGGCTGGGGATCTACAGCTTGAGCCACCACGCCCGGGCCAAAGTAAATTCTATTCTATGAGTTTATCGGCTGGGGGATTCGATTCTGGAAACAAAGGGAATAACTAGAGTCACATTGGGCATTCAACTTGAGGACTAGATGGAATCTAGACAGAACAAAAGTGTCCACACTGTTCAGAGAGTGCAGAGACCACAGGAGAAAGGGAAACCAGTGTGGTTGCTGTCTTGGGCGTCATCTGCTTTCCTTGGAGTGTAGGCTGAGAGGTGGGATGCCGCGAAAGTGGGAGGGATTAGAAGTAACTATTAATAGTTTAGAACTCAGAATTTTTTGCCCTGATAAGAACTCTAGATGCTATTGCCAGAACGAAAAGCTATCTACCTCCCACGGAGGAGGTAAGGGTGAACATGGAAATGGTTTTGTCCTCTGCCCCTCACAACTCATGTCTTAACAGAATCTAAGGGCGCGACAGAGCTTTTATTTTTTTTGTGATGGAACATCAAATTGGGCCGCATAAGGGCCGTCATCCTTAGGCAGGCTGTAAGATGGCTCCAACTCTCTTTTCGAGTTACCTCTTCGGTATTCACTTCCTTGTGAATCCCCTCCCTGAGTATGAACTGCATCTAATGATCACTTCAATAAACAGATCATATGGTCTAAGTGTATGGGAATGCCTTCTGAGATAGGTCAACAAAAAAGTTGGTCTTCGTCTTGAGCATTCTCTCTCTACACATTCTCTTTTCTCGTTCATGTTAAGCGGAAGCCAGCTGCCATGCTACAAACTGCCCTGTGGAGAGGCCTATGTGGCAAGGAACTAAGGGAGTTTTCCAGCCAAGAGGCAGCAAGAAACTGGGGTTTTTAGTGCAACAGCCTTTGAGGAGCTTAATCTTGCCAATATCCAGGGGGTGAATTTGGAAGTGGATTCTCCTCCTGTTGAGCCTTCAGATGAGACCACATCTTCGGCCAAAATTATAACTGTAGCCTCATGGAGAGACTCTGAGACAGAGGCAGACAGCTAAGGCATATCCAGATTCCTGCCCCACAGAAGCTGTGAGATAACAAATATTTGTTTAAAGCAATTAACCTTTGGAGTGCTTTGTTACCCACCAAGAGATAACCAATACAAAGCCCCTACCAGACATACCAAGGAAAAATCCCACCCGCAAAACTGAGACAGAGAAGGGCTTCTAATCTGGCAGCAGTGGGAGAGATTTCACTGCGTAATTCCTTCTTCCCCATTCCATCTCCAGAGGATACCGTTTCTACTAACGTAAGGGAACCTACGTAAGTAAAGAATTTAAGCCTATAACATACCACAAAAATGAAGCTGCCCTTCCAACAAAGCAGATTTTGACAAGGCCATTTTGAGACAGTGGATATACTAATATGGCCAGAGGGGTTGCAGATGGGGTATGGATGGAGGGCAAGATACAGGGGGAAGTATCCAAGATACTCAGAGGTGGAGTTAGGGTGCTTGCCTTGCACATTACTTGAGAGGTATAGACAGCTGACGTTTTCATGGTTTCTTTTAAAAACTAGGTAAAAATGTTCTTGGCACCAAAATGGCTTTGCGAAAGTAGCCAGATCAAAATGTCAGGTTCTGTCATGGGACTATTTTATTCAACCCTACTACATAAACACTGCTTGGACTCCACCTAGGCACTCAAGCCAAGAAGATTGCCACTAATCTTCCTTTCCTTACACACACACCCGCACGTGCGCGCGCGCACACACACACACACACACGGGGCTCAGGAGTAAGTTTCCAGAATCCAACAGCACAGGGTCTAGAATGGAGTAAGTTTTAAGGCCATCATCCGTCCCATGCCTGACTTGGATTTGGGCTGTTCTGATTCAGAGGCTGACAGCTACCTGCCTAGAGGCTGGTTCCCCACCAGACTCTACAGAGCCCCGGTTGACATAGAGTCCAATGGGCGTTTTCCCTGAACTGCTCACCAACCCAGAATACAAGAATGCAGAAACTATTGTGCATGGTGGACCCGAAGAGTGCCTTTAATTTGGAATCGATCCTATTTGTTTTCTGAAGCTCTCTGTATCGTTAAAGCCATTGATTTACCAACACTTAATAAAGAGGAGAATGTTCCCTAGAGCCCTGCATGGTTGTGTGGTCAGAGGTGGGATTACCCACTGCACAGCGCCAAGAGATGGAACCAGCCGCACTGGGGCTGGGCCCTTCCAGTCCAACATCCCAACCCTCACGCTACTTTGCCTCTCTGTGCCTCACTTTCCTCCTGGGTAAAAATGAGGGTTGAGGTCTGCTGCACCCTGTCTCCCTTCCAGCTCGAATCTCCTGTATGTCTCTGAAACCTCTTGGCACAGCAGTCCCCAGGACATGGAATGCACTGAAGTTTCCTAACATCCCACCAAATGAATTCCTTATGAGCCCAACTTCTGGGTTTGTACTCACCGAGAAAACACGGCAAGCCCTGACCTTCCAAAAACTCAGCTTGTTCTCTTTCCCAGATGCGTTTTCAAAAGAGAAAAGCTAACTTTTGCCCTCTAGGGTGGGAAATGCGAAAGGCACAAGTGCAGAGCTCTGTGAATTGAGACCACAACAAACCCCGCCTGGGCATGGAGCCCACAGAGCGGGCGCTCAACAGCCTTTCCAACCACAGAGTGGAAATTCTAGACGCAGAAGGTGCCCAGATGGGCCCTGCTTTCGTTCTCTTGCCAACTGCCGTAAACCTGTTTCTGTCCCGTTGGAGCTGCAACGTGGAGCCAGAAATCTGGAAGAATTTAACACCCAGTCGATTCAGACACAGGAAAACATTGTTCAA